TCGCCCGCAGGTCTGGATCGCCTTCTTGCCTGTTACCTACTTGTTTACTGGCCTCCAGTTTCATCTCCAGGCCAGTCTCCACCTTTTCACAGGTGATTTTTTTTTCCTAATGTACAATTTACTTAAATGTTTTTCTTCCCTTAAAACCCTTCTGTGGCTCACCATCACTAACAGGATAAAAGCTAAACCCTTTAGCCTATTCCTGTTCAGCCTACCTGTCCAGTCTCCTTTTCAACCGAAGCTGCAGAGTCCTTTGCAGCCTAACCATCTGGGGTTTCCTGCAGACAGCGTGCTGTTTCCCACTTCGGTGCCTTGCGTGGAAGGCCTTCTACGCCTCATTTCTAGTCTACTTGTTATCTCTCTCTTTCAGGGTCCTGCTCCCATCTGTTTTCCCACTTGGTAGTGATAAATACATCAATAAAGGGAAAAACTTCAAAAAGGATTTGAAATTTGAGCTGTGCTTTGAAGGCTGAATAGAATTTTAATAAATAGAAGAGGATGGACATTCCAGGAGGCAGAAGGCACAACATACGCAAAGCTGTGAAAGTACCCACTGTGTATGAGAGCACAGCAGAACTGTCCTTAGGTTGGTGGGAAACTGGCAAAAGGAAGCAGACTAAATGTAGCATGCTTTCAAGATTGACGTTTTGAGTATGTGTATTCATATTTCTAGCTTAATGAGATACGTATCTGAGCCACGTTTTTGTACCCAGGATCATTTCTTATTGATCTAGGGCAGTTCAGAATGCTTTATCTCCTTTCTCTACCCTTGGTAGCTGTGTGAAGTCTAGTATCTTCATCATAGTCACTCTACCTCATAAAGTACTTAGAGCAACACCTAGCACCTAATAAGTAATAACTAACGTTGGTTATGACAGTGATGTGCGGTCAACTGGCAGTCACTCCTAGTATGTAGCTCCAGTCAACAGTTATGACCTTAGTGCCTGGGGTTTGGTTTTGTTTCCCTGCAAACAAATGCTTTAAAGGACAAGCTTTTGTTTAGCCAGTCCCTATCTAAAGCCTGAAAAGTAGATCCAAGCTTCATAACTACATTTTGTTCTGTAGCCCCTGGCCATTTGGAGAGGGGGGATTATCTCTGACACATCTCCAGGCTATTGGAAGATTCAGATGAGCAAAACTAATCGCAGAAAAAGTTGACCTTTGCTGCTTTAGAGGAATTCACTGTTTAAAGGAACTCTACAGTGAGGAGTTGTGTTACAGAAGAAATCCTTCACCCCAAACCTACATGTGATAAATCAGCTTTTTTCAAAAATTGAGGTTCAGCTAAAATACCAAAACCTTTTCAAACATCTTAAGCATGGTGATGCTTTTCAAGGAAGTACGTAAACCTGACCCCAAACAGTATCTTTTAAGAAATGATCACTGTGTTTTCCTTGCAGACGACAGCCAGCAGCTAGACACGTGACTGACAGTCACAGAAGTGATCGTGTGCCTAGTGAAGGTGGTTTTCGAAAAGAAAACAGGTCAAGGTGTATTTACTGCTGGCTCTGCTCACTAGGACTACCTGTGCATACCACCAGTTAGCAATTTCTAGTTCATTCCTGACAGTGGGTTTAAAATAGTTTCTAATTATGCCACTAAATCACATGAAGCCTTTATGAGAATTGGACAATAACAGCAACTCATCTGGCCGTTAGTGGAGAGGCTTTGAGTCTTAAGATCAGCGGGCAGCGGAACACCCCATAAAACAGGCAGAAAGAAGGCATTTTGACTGGTGAGTCTGGACAGCTCACCCTACTTACATCTAATTGTAGTTTTGAACATTAGTCATCTGTCGTACAGCTAAGGTGTTCAGGGGCTGTCAGGAGAATCAGAAGTTTGGGGAGGCAGCTACCCTACCCTGTCATTTTCAAACATATCTTGGGCCCTTTATCACTTTTACTATGTCTAGAAAATGCTAGCCATTTCTTTAATAACTTGGTGCCCACTCTGTACAAAGTGCCAGAGCAGACTGTAGTGAATAAAACCAAACATGGTTTTTTTATCTTCTTGGCTTAGTCTCCCAGAAGTTGTCCTATTTGAGATGCAAAATCAGGCCATTAAGTGGACAGGGAGATGGAGCAATGTACCGGGCTGAGCACTGGCAGTAGGGGGCCATTGCTTGCTGGCCCTCACTGACACGTTGTGAGATGATCCCGGCCATAGCAGCATGCGGAGTACTAGCCTACACTTGAGATGACAGCAGCTGGAAATTTAAGTCAACCCTATTCTGCCACACCACCAGGCTTAAAATAACAGATACAGAGACATTTCTGTGGCTCAGTAGGTAATGTTAAACCAGTGGCTTTGTTCAACTTTACTGGAAGATTTAAGAGCTTGGAGCATCAACAGTACTGAACTGCTATTAAAAAGATTTTAAATAAATAAATCTAATGTAATAGGAATATTTCAAAATATATTTTAAGTATGTCACCAAAACTAAATTTTGTGATTAAGAAATATCTGTTGAACAAACCATAATTTGGAATATGCATCAAGAACCTTAAAAAAATATTCATGCCTTTTGGCCCAGAAATTTCACTCCTGGAAATGTGTCATAACAGAGTAATAATTTAGGGATAAACTATATGCTTAAGGATGTTTACTATAGATTATAAAACAATGTTTTAAAATGGGAGTATGTTCAAAGTTCAACAAAATGGAAATGTTGAAGTATATTTTGGCTATATTCACTTGATAGACTAGCACACACACACACATTTAAAATGATGATTATAAAAACTAGAAAATGGCAAGGCAAATGAGGGAATAAAATTTCTATGCAAAAGTATAATTTCCACGATGTTTAAAAACAAGCAGGTTCTTGGAGGGGAAAAAAGAAAAGCAATACCTGTTGAATGAGTGAGGAGCCTGAGGGATAACAGGCTGGTGA